CAAGAAGACCATTAGACAGCTGCAGCTCATCCAGAACGCTGCTGCCAGAATTCTGACTAGAACCAGAAAATCTGAGCATATCACACCAGTCCTGAGGTCCTTACACTGGCTTTCAGTTACATTTAGGATTGATTTTAAAGTACTTTTACTCGTTTATAAATCCCTCAATGGCCTAGGACCTAAATACATTGCAGATATGCTCACTGAATATAAACCTAACAGACCACTCAGATCATTAGGATCAGTTAAAAATACCAAGGGTTCACACAAAACAAGGGGAATCTGCTTTTAGTTATTATGCCGCCCGCAGTTGGAATCAGCTTCCAGAAGAGATCAGATGTGCTAAAACATTAGCCACATTTAAATCCAGACTCAAAACTCAATATGTTTAGCTGTGTATTTAATACAGTGCAATCTGTGCAAGTGCACTGTGCAATACAGTGCAATCAGTTCGGACGTAGCACAGTGCTCGAACTGATTGCACTGCATTTTATGTATAATCTTTTTCTATTCTTAACTGTTTTAATTCATTTTAAATCAATTTTAGATTATTTTAAAAGTTTTTAATTTCCTTGTTTTATTGTTGTGATTATTTATTATGATTATTTTAATTCCTTTTATGTAAAACACTTTGAATTACCATTGTGCATGAAATGTGCTATATAAATAAACTTGCCTTGCCTTCGGAGACAAAGTTTCCTTTCTGATAATGTAACAACAGCTAGGACATGATTATTAAAATCATGTCCTGTCCTACATTATTTCCCATAATTTTCCGTTTTCCCTTTAACAACAAACCTGTTCTGCGTTCTCTCTACTGAGTGTCTTCAGTTTGTCCTCCATGCGCTGTAGAGTCTGCTGCAGCTCTTCATTCTTTTTATTCAGCCGTTTATTCTTCTCCATAAGAGGCTTTATCTCTGCATCTGTTTCTCGCACTCGTTTCAGCTGTATGACAGAGAGAGACTGATCTACATACAGAATGCAAGACATTTGTGCTAAACTACAATTGGGATTTCCATAAGGATCTTATGAAAATTATCTTACAGATTTTTACAACACAAAATATAAATCTTTTGAGAACAGTGGCTTTAGTGGGTGAGAGGTCAGCAGTGAAAATGATAATGCCAAATGCAAACAATAAAATACAACTAACCGTATAATCATTCATCATTATGATAAATTAACAGAGGAGAAGATGCAGGTTAAATAATATATACAGTATAATACATTAAATGCAGGTTTGGTACATGATATATAATCTGGGTCATGAAGCGAAACCAGTTGAAAATCACAGATTTAAAACATTGTTCCCAATAATCTTTCACTATTACAGTTAAAAAACTGTTGAAAAACTGTAAACGGTTTAACATCACATGTAATTTTACTGCAAAGTATTGTCAAATGTATGTTTTTTAGAAGAAAAAATTAAAAAATTAATATAATTACCATATAATTTACTGTGAAAAAAGGGTAAAGGGACATTCCCAGAGGTCACACAAGAAAGTTCCCTTTGTGACACACCACATATGATTATATTTTACGTTTTGTTTCTTTATATTTACGTTAACAGTAAAGCTTTGTGTTTTTTAGTTAATGATTATTGCATTATTTTAGTATAATGTGTTACCCTGATGGTGCTTTGTCTGCATCACCCTGCGCATCGGATATACAGCCATGTTTATGATCAGGCCATTTGTGATGCATTCATCATGTGGCTTTCTATTGTACCACCTGGTTATCGGTACATTTTGCAAAGTATTTTGGTAGTTCGAGTAGCTTGGTATATTAACATTATATCACTTAATGAAATATTCGGTTATAAATTGTAAAATATACATACAGGCCCCAATATTCCATCCTATTACTGAAACATTGTCACGGTAATTTTTTCACTGAATTTTTGGCAATAACAGCTGCCATTTTGAACTCTAAATATAAAGGGTTAGTTCACCCAAAAATTAAAATTCTGTCATTAATTACTCACTCACATGTCGTTCTAAACCTGTAAGACCTCCGTTCATCTTCGGAACACAAATTAAGATATTTTTGATGAATTCTGAGAGCTCTCTGACCCTCCCATAGACAGCAATGTAATTACCACGATCAAGGTCCAGAAACATAGCAAGGAGATCGGTAAAATAATCCATGTGACATCAGGGGTTCAACCGTGATTTTACAAAGCTACAAGAATACTTTTTGTACGCAAAGAAAACAAAAATAACGACTTTATTCAATAATTTGTCCCCTCCGCGTCACCCTGGTGCCATTTTGGAGAATATCCACTGCACGTAAACAGGATATACTATTCTGTGTAAGCTGTGTCACGTGGATGTCACATTTTTGGGTGAACTATCCCTTTAACAGGATATTTTACAGTGTATGATTCAGATAAGATCTTATTAGATAAATTCCTAAATTCCTTTAGTTTGTTGAGAGTGTATGTGTATGTACCAGTTCATTTCTCTCATCTGACAGCAGGGTGTTTCTGTCCTCTAGTTTCCTGATGACTGCCTGCAGCTCAGCGATCTTCAGCTGAAACCTCCGTACATCCCTCTCATCCGCGTCCTATGAGTGGATAAACATACTTTATTGTGTGATGGCAAAGTTCATCATGCAGGAAAAAGTTCTCGCCATGTTAGTCCAGCTCTAATGAATGTTAATGGTCCTGATGATATAAAAGCTTTTTGTCAGATGTTTCTGATCGTAGAACTGAACAAACCTGGTTATTGACGGAGTCTGTGTTTTCCCCGAGGAATGGCGCCACCTCTCTCTTCGGACTCCCATAATGCCGCTCTGATTCCTCCTTCTGCAGCAGTAGACGCTGTGTCTGTCCCGCCTGCACACCCAGCTCTTTTTCCAGTGACTGCACCACACGATCTCTGCTCTTCAACTCGTCCATCTGACATAAACACACTTTTGAGTTCATGTTTTTTGTGGTCCAATTCACAAAATGTCCTTCCTTCAGGTCTACCTACTGTACTAATAGCAAAAATAGCATTGAGGTAATTCCTACTAATGCATATATAAATATATAAAAACTTGAAAGGGTTTGGGCCAGTAAAGACATTTACAATGTTACAAAATATTTCTATTTCAAATAAATGCTGTTATTTTGAACTTTTTATTCATCAAGGAATCCTGAAAAAAGGGTATCACAGTCTCCACAAAAATATGAAACAGCACAACTCTTTTCAACATTGATATCATAAGAAATGTTTCTTGAGCACCAAATCAACATATTATAATGATATGTGACGCTGAAGACTGATGTTATGAAGCTGAAAGCTGCAAATTCAGCTTTGCCATTACAGGAATAAATTACATTTTGAAATCATTTCAAATAGCAAACAGATATTTAAAATTGTAATAATATTTCACAATAAACAAAACCATTTAAAAAAAACTTACTGACCCCACCCTTTGAATGGTATTATACATAAACTGTTTAAAAAATGTATGTATATCAAAAAAATAAGCTTTTGGTCTGGCCAATAATTTGATGATGTACTGAACACTGATCCGGTGTCTTTAATTATAAGGGCGCTAAAATCAAATCGGTGCAAAAAAAAACTTAAATCCTGTCTATTTGTTCTTTGTCATATGAAACACTATTTGTGACTGATTGATATAAAGAATGAGTTTTTTTTATTTTGAGGGCTGTTATACATTAATATCAACTTCAGCTGATATTTGAAAGGTGATGCCAATGTCAATATTTTCTCTTCTATTCAAGCTTAATACGCAGAGACAACTGTATAAGTATGTAAGTATAAACATTTGTAGGTTGGTTCCCCACTGTGTCTTTGTTTGTTTGATCCGGAGCAACCACACTGATTCAACCAATGGCATGAGACTGGAGCGGAACTATCAGCCATTGTTTTTACAATTCTATGTGGTGGCATTCACCTGAACTTTTTTTAAATAACTCCTTCCATCCTTCTTACCAGTCTCCGGATTTCTCTCTCGCTCTCGCGTTTGATTCTATGAATCTCTTCCTGATGAGCTTGATGGGCCACCCTGAGATCGGCAGCTTTGGCTCTGTCGGCCTGCACAGCATTGGACAGCGCCTCCTCTGCCTGCCGCCGCAACGTCTTCGCCTCCTGCAGCTCCTGCGTGAGCCTGAGTTTCTCTGCCTCGTAGCTCCTGCGGGCCTCCTCTCGTGCCTCCTCCTTCAGGGCATTGCGTAGCTCGCTGCTGGCTCCGTCCCGTAAAATACACACCAGCGCCTGAAGCCGGGACAGTTCTGTCTCGCGGAGTCTTGCCGCCCGGGCCAGCTCGGTCTCGTGTTGCCGAGACAGGCTCTCTCGTGTGGCTGCCACCTCTCGCTGCTTCTCCTCATGGAGCTTGACGCGGAGTTCAGTGAGAGCGACCGAGTGCTTGTGCTGCTCAGTCTCTCGTTGGGCCCGTAACTCTTGCAAACGTTCCCGTAATTTGCCCACCTACAAATTGAGAGACAAGGTGTATACACTGACACCAACCAAGGCGAACATTGGCATTCACATTAAGGTTCTCATAATGTCACAAGTTTACCAACAAATTCCCATTTACTTCTTCAATCTGATTACTAAGGTATTATTAAAATAATGTATTTTTTAAAAAAAATGTTTATTGGGATTCCTTGGGTGAATCTTTGCTCAATTTTTGGCATTAATGGATTTAAACAATTATAGTTTTTAACATGTAAATGTCTCAAAAAAGACAAAATAATATTCTGTCCAAATTATTTACACAGATATATACTCTCGATGAACAGGCTGAAATAGGTTATACTTTATTTTAAGGTGTCATTGAAACAGTCTAACTACGCAAATAAGTACTGAGTGATATTAATTAACTACATGCACTTTCTATAGGGTTACAGTTTGGTTTCGAATTAGTTACTTGATATAATCCTATAATTTATCATCATTACTATGGTACACGCATATAGCATGTGTAACTGTCACTTTAAATTAATGTGTTAACCTGAAATATTTTAGAGCCTTTGCCTTACTGTACATACATTGCATAGTAAAGTAACCTGATAGACCTCTCAGATCATCAGGATCGAGTGTCTGCAGCTGGAATAAGCTTCCAGAAGTCAGATATGCCCCAAAGGCAGCCAGATTCAAGTCCAGACTGAAAACACTGTTTTTCCCTATGCTCTTACTACACCTTAGTTGGCAAGCTTGCACCACTTTTCATATATCCAAATGAGTCCAATCCGATTCCAGATTCTGAAAGTTCCATTTATATGAACCCTAGACTGAAATCTGATTCACATTTTCTTTTACATGTGCATTACATGTATTCTGAACAAAACATCAGCACATGAGCAGTGTCCAGTCGTCGCGCTGAGAAGTGAAGAAAGCCACCTCGATGTCACTGGAAGGCAGACTTATTTAAGCATTCACATGCTTATTTTTGTTTCCTATCAATCAGATTACTTCAGATCTACAGCACCCCTTTCATTCGAATCAAACTCAGCCAGATAGATTGAAGTGTTTATGAAGGTGCTTCAAACTAATGATTTTCAAATGAATAGCACTTTGAATTACCATTGTGTTGTAAAATTAACTTGACTTGTATAGAGTAGGGCAAAATTAGAAAACGTATATTGAACAGTCCATTATTCTCGCAGACCTCCATCCTCTAAATTTACTGACCGGATTTGTGCCTAGCTCTTTGGCACTTGGCACATATTCTCCAGACTCTGTTTCCACCATTAGCAAATGTCTTCATATTACATCAATATTTTATAACCTTCAGGGTTTTATAATGGTTTAGAGAGAGGGACAAAACATAGTGAGCAAGCAATGAGCTAGAAAGAATTAAACTAGTTTTGCATTTAAGCCCCGTATAAAAAACATTGTTTGATTTGATTTATTTTACCAGGTCTAAAACCATGTTTGCATCATTTGATTATGTGAAATAATTCCCATAAACTGCCACATCTATCCTGGTTTTCCAGCAATGTTAAGCTGTCCCATTGTTTGACGCTTCCAGAGGGTGTGGCATGTTATCTCTTCTACTCATTATGGCCATGAAGCAATCACTGGCACAAAGAACTGCTCAGATTGGTGATGGATTTTGGGATATTTTGGGATATTTTGGGATTCATGAATTTGTGAGCGATTATGAATGCTTACATGTCTGAAAAACATTAATAGCTCCGGATTATGTTTTCTGGATCACACTGAGATGTCATAAATAAACATGAGAAGAGCACAAATGTCCAGTTTTCCAGTCCTCTCTTTTCACAAATCATAACTTGTGCCTCCTGGTATTGTACTGATACTTATGTCATTAATATGGCAACTGATGTACTGGATACTAACAACTCTGTCTGAAAAAAAAACTGATCCGATTTCATCAACTGCAGCATAATAATGGAGACAGTTCCTCTTTAAAAAAAAAAGTCTGCACTTGCACATATTCTTTTAATGATTTTGCACATTTACTGTAATTGCATATTGCTATTTGGACCCACTTAAGTATGACTTAAGTACATCTTTATATGAAATGTCATAATTACTTCTACTGTCTTGTACGGTTAAAGTGTTCTGCTAAATGTACTAACAAGCATTTATGTTAAACTAAAATATACTTTATTGTTATTTCTATTGAATTGTGTATGTCATGCATTTAAATATATTTGTAATTACACATTTGGTAATGATGAAGTTGCGGTTTAGTTTCAATTGAATTTTAAAATATGTTGACTAGAAATGTATTATTGAATAGCATTACAATACAATTCTAATCAAGTTAATGTATTTCTTTAAAGCAAGACAAAAGATTATTAAAACATATGGTTTAAAATGCAATGTAAAAGAAAAACTTTCAATTTGGCATGATTACAAAGTGCACCTTTTAAAAGTGTACTTAAGTGCCATGAAAGTGTATCTTTAAGTACACTTAAATGGCCGTTTTATGTTATTAATATTATATTATCTCCAAGAATTTTTTTTTTAAATATACTTTTAGGATTTGAAGTACTACTAGTGCACAAAATCAGATTGGGTGTAATGTGAACAAAGCCATGCAGTAGATGGGCGTACCTTGCCTCTTTCCTGTTGCAGTTCATTTTGCAAGTCACTCAATCGGCTCCTCAGTTCTTCATTGGCTGCCTGTAGAGTTTCTATTTCCTGTTTTCCTCTGCTCTTTTTGGGAGGCGGGGCTGATGTGGGCGTAGTTGCAGCCATCCTGCGCAAATGCTGATTCACCAGTCAAATCCACAGTCAAATCTCACTCTAAACCTTTTGTAACACTGGAAATCGACCACACCGTCACTGGCATCTTCCTCTTCTCCTGCTGGAAACAGAAAGAGTCGGTCTGTGAGTTCAGCATCCAAAGTGACTGCACACACAGTTGTTCCACTCAGTAGCAAGGGTGTTCCCCTTACACATGCACACAAACTACAGTCAACACTGACATATCTTACACATACGGATCTGAAAACTCACATGTGCCATTTGTTCGAGATGGTCCTCACTGCAGAAAACAAGATCCAGGGGGCGTGGTTGGATCCAGATCCAACTCCTCCCACCTTACATATACCTAAACCTACCCGTCTCCACCCCCTAGATGTGGATCCAACCACGCCCCCTGGATCTTGTGTTCTGCAGTGAGGGGCTACTGATTTGTTCACTGGAATTTGGCTCAGACATATTTTGCATGTTTGTGCCTCCATCTAGTGGTGTCTTATGGTTTTACGTGACAATAAATGCAACAATCACTATATGGCCAAAATAGTGGTCAACCAACCACTTTTTATTGTTGTTGTTGCTGCTGTTGTTGTTGTTTGTGTGTGTGTGTGTGTGTGTGTGTGTGTGTGCGCGTTTTTGTGACAAATGAGGACATACATTTGTATAATGACAAAGGTATGACATAGGTATTGCAAGGAGAAGGTGACTTTTCAGGACATTAACCCATGTCCCCACTTTTCAAAACGCTTCTAAATCACACAGAATGGAGTGTATTGAAAATCTGAAATAGCACAAAGTTTCCTGTAAGGGGTAGGTTTAGGGGTAGGGTTGGTGTAGGGCAATAGAATGTACGGTCTGTACAGTATAAAAACCATTACGTGTTAGTCTAAACACAGATAGCAACGTGTGCAGTTCAGGTCTCATCACGTGATGACGGCATAAATGACAGTTATTCTAACATACAACACTGAACAAAGAGTGACTGGTTTGTCCACGTATTGTTTTTTCTCTCTCATCGCTCTTGTTGTAATGTATTGGGAAGCCAGAATTTGTATCCATCAACAGAAACATGCATTAGCCGAACTCTTACAAACCATATTACAGATGCATTGTCAGATTTAAGCTGAACCGCGGTCCTAGTGCATGCTGAACCGTGTGTGGAGAACGGTACGGTTTGATTTTTTTACCGAGAACCGTTGCACCCTTAATTATCACCCTCTTATTTTCACTCCATTTGCTTCAAAATTCATTAGAATAATGTCAAAACATGGCAGATGTAAAACTGTGAAGGAAATCTTGATATCTTAAATACTGTTGCCCTGGCTACACTTCAAACTTTAATATTTTACTCCTATATACTACTCCAGTTGTAATCATACAATTCACACCAAACTTTGTCTATATGACGCAAAAACACGTAAAACATATTTTTATTTTTTATTACGTATTTTAAGTATGTAAGAATGTATTTTTGGATATCTCAAACGGTGTTGCCATAGCGATTTATTAAAGTAACAGCAAAAACGAAAACATATATTGTCTTTTTTATCTTTAAAATGCATTGTTCAAACTACTCAAAACTTTTTACATAAGCAAGAACTATAAACTATCATATAAATTTCAACTGATGGATGAAGACTGTAATACTAAAGCTGGATGGACTAGATGGAGTCATAGCATAAGAAATAATTTATGCCTAATCCTTTTTCTGTCTGTTTCTATCCGTACAAATGATAAATACATGCATAGAATCAGCTAATATGTACTGTACTGTCAATAATATAGTTTTATATAATTGTTTCACAAATGCTTATAGATCATTATAATCATTTAAAACATTCTTACAGATCATTAAAGTTGTATATATCCTTCCATTTCTGTGTGTAACCCTTTCATTGCTGTAACTCAACAACCAGACTGCCAGAGGGTTAAATGCATTTGACTGCTGTACATTGTTTTCTTGAAGCCACCGGGATCATCGGTGCTTGCAGCTGTATTTTAACACTTATTTTCCTTACATTTACAATTACTTACAATTTACTACACAATATTGTAATACAGAAAATGTGCAATACATTCTGAAACTAGCACTAGATTAACTGATTACTTCTTTTAATTATTGTAAATAATCCAGCACAATTATCAGAAGACACCTTCACCTGATCAACATTAAATGGCTAAATATGAACAAATTAATCAGCCTGTCCAGTATCACTAATCAAACTATGAAGCTCAGAGTAAGCTTGGTGAGCAGAACTCTTTCAAATCAGGAACACAGGTAATGTGCAGTTGATCAAGTCAGCCACCTGCTTTTGTGCTAGTGACTTTTTAAATCTGCCATATATTGTCTATGGTTTGATATTGTTGGGCTCAACAGTTTCTTTTCTGCTATATTTCCAGTTAGGCCCATAGTTCAGAATGCCCTGCTATTGTTTTAACTGCCCCCATCTTTCAAAAGGAACGAATATGTACCATTTATATAATAAGGTACTAATACACACCCTTTAGGCCAAAAAGATTTACCACCCTGCAACAGCTTTTGTATCATTTTTTTTCTGATTGACATATACAGTATATAATGCATACAACATATACACTTGCAATCAAAATGTTTACACAATTATGCATTGTAATAATTTTCAAATGTAAGCTTTTCTGAAGATCCATTTTTTGTGCATCCATACCAATTTTATGGTATATTAAATGTTATAATGGCAATATATAATGTAATATTTTTGAATTACTGGATTTTTTATTTTTTTTGTAATACAGCTATGTCATAATTATTCAACATTGCTGTTTTTAAGTCACTTGTTTGTATGTTAAGTCACAAAATTGTGTTAAAACACGAGTAAGCCTTTGGAAACTCTATGACAAAACATAAATTTAGCCCATGAATGAGCTGAAGTTGAGAGGCAAATACGGGCAAGTCAAAAGAGCTTTACCAAAAACTATAGAGAATAAATTGTTTTATTAAATTATACAGTCTGTGGCTACAAGAAGAAACTAAAGGTTCCTAGAGACAGAGCTAGCAGCCTTATGCATAACTTTAAAAGCTGTTGTACCAGAAAACCTTTGAGGGTGTTAAAGAAAAAGCACAATATTAGCAGGAGGAATAAAATGTTTGCTCATACAGAGCAACTGTAAAAAAAAAAATCAGTTTACTGACAAAGACTTGCAACGATGACCTGATGAAAGGAGGAAGCAACATTTCAATGTAGAGTATAAGAAGAACACTAAATGAGCATGGCCTTCATGTCAGGACACCTCGCCAAATGCATGCAACTTTTGACCAAGAAGCACATACAAGGCTGGCTTGAATATGCTAGAATTAATTTTCGATAGACCTCTGGAGTTCTGGAAGAATGTGTTATGCAATGATGTGACCCAACTGAAACTTTTGACCCATAGATCAGCGGTATGCCTGCAAGAATCGCAAAGCTTATAAGCAGAAGAACACCATTTCCATAGTCAAACACGGAGTTGGACCGTTCTTGTTATGGGTGTTGTGCTGTTGCAGGAAGTGGAAATCTTGACTGTATAAAGAAAATCATGGAGTCTTTGAAGTATCAGGCCATTTTGGCATTGATTGTGATGTCTTTGGTGCAGAGACTGAAGCTTGATGATCAATGGACTTTCCTGCAGGACAGCCATCCCAAAGTATACATCCAAATCCAATTATTCTTGGTTCAGGGAACGGTTCTAGAATGCTCTTGAGTGGCCTGTTCAGTCTTCAGATTTAAATCGTATTTAAAATATTTGGTGGAATTTAAATAAAGCAGTGGTAATGAAATTATCAGTGATCTGGAGGCTTTTTCAAGTGAGGAATGGGCCAAGATTGCAGAAGAGAAGGGACAAAGGCTTCTAAGCACTTACAGGCAGCGTTTACGGGAGGTTATAAAGAATAAAAGATTCTGAACAAAATGTATAATTATGAATAATTATGCGTGTTGTGCTGTTGCAGGAAGTGGAAATCTTGACTGTATAAAGAAAATCATGGAGTCTTTGAAGTATCAGGCCATTTTGGCAATGATTGTGATGTCTTTGGTGCAGAGACTGAAGCTTGATGATCAATGGACTTTCCTGCAGGACAGCCATCCCAAAGTATACATCCAAATCCAATTATTCTTGGTTCAGGGAACGGTTCTAGAATGCTCTTGAGTGGCCTGTTCAGTCTTCAGATTTAAATCGTATTTAAAATATTTGGTGGAATTTAAATAAAGCAGTGGTAATGAAATTATCAGTGATCTGGAGGCTTTTTCAAGTGAGGAATGGGCCAAGATTGCAGAAGAGAAGGGACAAAGGCTTCTAAGCACTTACAGGCAGCGTTTACGGGAGGTTATAAAGAATAAAAGATTCTGAACAAAATGTATAATTATGAATAATTATGCACATGGAAGTTTAGAACCAATCTGATTTTGTTTCATCAACTTTACCTTCCCAAATGTTCTCAGATCATTTGAGTGTGTATTAAGACATGTTCTATAACAGTTTACTGAGACCTTGGTTTAATTGTTTTCATAGAATTTTGTTGTTTGCAGAAAAACATGTTGCAGATCAAGGGAGTTGAATAATTTTGATTGCATTTTTTATATTGTTTGTTTGTTTTTTTGTAATCATATTTAAACAATATTGAATTGTAACTTTATGACCACTATAAATTCATAAACACATTGAGCTACTGTAAATAAATTCAACTTGGTTACATATTTCAAAAAGCAATATTTGCATCAACACTGTTTACTACACAGGAAAAAAAAAATTCAGTTTGCAAGACATAAAAACACATTAATGAATGCAAGACACTGCATGACACTGACAATGACAATGCACTTGCCCAAATCTCCAAGACTTATTGTTAATCTTATTGCTGAGCCGTAAGTACTAGCACTGCATCAAAAAAATACAAATAAATAAAAATAAATGCCAGACACAGAGCATCAGGTTAGGAGAGCTTTTTAAATTCCTTTATAAACCATTGCGCTATAAAAGAATAAGCCATACAACTTAATTAACCTTAAATTAAGTAGTTTACCTTGACCTGTTTGTCACATGAAAACAAAAATCTAGCTACTTCAAGAGTACAAACACACACAAAAGCTTTAC